ATTTTATAAGTTCTGTCTGGAATTTTTGAACTGCCTTTCGTGATGAACAAGGAAGAAACTTAGTCGCCTATGAAAAAAATTGTGCTCCAAGGAAGCATTCGAAACTTACCCCAAAATTATACCCAAACGCTGCTTTGCCGAGCGCTTCCAAGGTAAACCTATAAATCGCCGAAAAATTATTTTACCAATCAGAATGGACCCTTTGAGTTTTCAAAATGAAGATTGCTTCGAAAGATAAAATATGCATACGCCTGAGTCATGACTTGTGCATTGATCGTATCATTGACTTTAAGATCTTTATCCAACTCCTTGATCAACTCTTTAATTATGTTTCCGAACAATTCCGTTGGCCATATGTGATGGAATGACGGATTTGCCACCCTCCGATGTCTTAGGTGTTCCTGTTTTTTTTTTGTTTTTTTTTTGAACGCGAAAAATGTCAAGCACCATGGAAAAAAGATTGCGCGAAAAACATCGACGTTTGGTCGCTTTACCTCTTTATTTTCAAATAAAATGTTTTTTCTACCGATATATGCGTACTCGCAACGAGACATTGGTCGATTCTATTTTGACGAGAAATTCGCATTATCTCCAATATATTTTTCCAAGGCTCAAGAAAATGAAACTTACAGCAGCATCGATCTTTTGGAATGTGTCTTTGGAGAGAAAAAAGATTATCAATTTGAAAGGAAAAGATTGATTTATCTTCAATCGTTGTCATTTTTTTTTTATTTACCTGTTTTGGTATTGATTTCTTTTAAGAAATGGGGTCGTGAGACAAAAATTATCCATCTCTTCCACAAGATGTCATAATACTGGAGAAAAGTGAAAACAATGTTAATTCGGCAAAACAAGATTTTTACAATAATTACAAAATTTCGAACAAATAATACAGTGGACACAAATGTTAATTAACATAGGTGATTAATGTTGAAATCTATTTAGATAAAAACTACAGTTTCTCGGTGCGTCCAATTATAATTACTCTAACGATTCCCGTCTCTTCAATCGGTTCCAACAAAAATTTCCTAATGTTGGTCGCGAGAGGAACGCCTAGCAGATATAGTTCGATGTTCCATTTAACATTAGTAATTAAGGGAAGTGATGGAATCTTGCGAAATCCAGAGGAAATTAGGAAATAAGGAGAAAGTAATCTGTACAGAAAGATGGCGATTAACAGGTAGACGAAGTAAGAATAACTCATTTTGTTTTGGTTTTGTTTTCTGTCTCTTTGATGGGAGCTGAATCAAAGGAGAGACGGAAATTATTTTTTCTTTAAAAAATTATTAAAATGGGCACATCCAATTTACAAAATCAGGATAAATTGATGCCAGCGTCTCTCATGCATATTTTATTCCGACTTTTATAAAAA